GCAAACAAATCCAAATCATCCATAGCCATTCTCGTCGCCAAATATTTATCTTAGGATGCTTCTTGGATTGATGACACCGGACACGTAAGTACGTTTTAGTATTTAATTTAGAATAACATTACCGGAATGCACCTGGCGTAAGCTACCTGAGGCTTTTCCGATCACGGTTATATGGCAGACATTTAAACAGCTACGGATAGTGGAAAGCAAACCCCATATTGAGTCAATACTGCCATCTATTCGTCAACATAATCCTTAACATAAATTTACCAGGATAGACCACAGCCTGTTGTTTCACATGGGAACAAATGAGTCAGTTGGCAGAACAAGCAAGGAGGGGAGCAGAGCCAAGCTAGGAGGGGGGCAGAGCCAAGCAAGGATGGGGGCAGAGCCAAGCAAAGAGGGGAGCAGAGCCAAGCAAGGAGGGGAGCAGAGCCAAGCAATGAGGGGAGCAGAGCCAAACAAGGAGGGGAGCAGAGCCAAGCAATGAGGGGAGCAGAGCCAAGCAAGGAGGGGAGCAGAGCCAAGCAAGGAGGGGAGCAGAGCCAAGCAAGGAGGGGGCAGAGCCAAGCAAGGAGGGGAGCAGAGCCAAACAAGGAGGGGAGCAGAGCCAAACAAGGAGGGGAGCAGAGCCAAACAAGGAGGGGAGCAGAGCCAAACACGAGTTAGCGCGATCCTATCGCCGCGTTCTAGCATCATTTGTTTATTTCCGTTACGGGTCGCCTACTCTGTGAAGTGACCGTGTGTAATAACTCAATTCGCCATTGCCCACCTTCTAAACAACGCCATTTTTTGAAACTTTGCCAAAGTTAGTCCACTCTGTTCGTAACCTATTGTAGTTTTGGGAACAGAAAACTATTGTGATCAAATGTTTAATCGATGAGTAAATTAGCAGAATGTCAGCCAAAATCAATCTCATTCCATCTTCACCCACTGCCAGCCACTCTGCATTGGAAACGCCAAGCGGATGCTTCATTTATACTGTACATCAGGTAAAATATCTGTCTCATTGTTCTATCTGTGGGTTAGCTACCTTCTTCTTTAAGGTTTATTGGCAGACTACAACCATAAGGTGTACTGCCGCCACCTACTGTATGGAGTAGTAAACTATCCCCCCAAAACTAAAGCTATTTTGGATGAAGAAATTCCTACCAACTACCCCCAAAAAACAAATTCACGCTACTTCTGGTTAGCTACCTGGGGACGTAAACATCATGTTGTATGGGTCCCACCTTCCATTTAGCTAGCCAATCAATGGCATTGTAACAAAAAGCAGTGCTATGATTGGTCAATAAGGCTGCCAATCATATTTGAGTACTATTTCATCACAGAGTTTCTAAATTTACATTTACGTCATTTAGCAGACGCTCTTATCCAGAGCGACTTACAAATTGGTGCATTCAACTTAGGATAGCCAGTGGGACAACCACCACTGGGGGAGAGGGGGTGTAGAAGGATTACTGTTATACTATTCCAGGTATTCCTTAAAGAGGTGGGGTTTCAAGTGTCTCCGGAAGGTGGTCAGTGACTCCGCTGTCCTGGCGTCGTGGGGGAGCTTTTTCCACCATTGTACCTTTGATGTCATTGTAGATTTGTGAGCAGACAGAGATCATATATCAAGTGTACCATGACCAGGGAGATGCGGGCTCCACACTTCAATTTCTTGCTCTCAATTCCACTTTCCAGCCACACATAGGTATTTCAATGTCATAGCCAGTGGTAACTTGTGGAATAGATACCGGCTGGACCGCGGTTTTAACCAATCAGCAGCCAGTATTATACCCACCCATTGTATAAAAGGACTATAAGCACCAACGCTCTCATAAAAGCAGCAAGATTTAATTTACAGTTTTATTTCTTTTTTTAAAGTGTCATTATACACAATAAATACAATACAAAAGTAATCTAATACTATACTTCAAATTCTCTCTTTTTTGTACAGTATTGTTGGTTTCTCTGTGTCGTTGTTGCTCTTGCTGCGTTTGGGTTTGAATTGTCCACCGGGCTTTGAACAGAGGGATGATGGGGGATGGAGAGATTAACAGTGACGGGACGGGACAGGACGGGGGGAGAGAGTCAGAGATTTGATAAAGAAAAAAGGTCAACAATGTGACCTGAATGTGGCCGTGTTAATTGAAATGCATCCTAGCCTACTGAACGTCAGGACAACCAGAGGATTTGTTTTAACATGTAAAGGTGATTTCATCTTTCATTGACACCTCATCATCATTACAGTAATCAGCCTCAACAGTCAACCAGAAAGTCAGCCAACCACCTCAATATTTAACCATACTACCCATTACCTAACCATGTATAAGAACACAACCTAACCATCTAGCTAAGAAGAATGGAACAGCTGGAACCAGAAAGTGTGGAGATGATGACAGAAGTCACAATATGGAAAAAGAGAGACGTGGATCTAGGTATGATGAGTGTAACAGGGTTAGGTTAATGTGAGACAGCTAAAACAGGTTAGGGTATGATGACTACTAAACAGGTTAGGGTAATGATGAGCTAGCTAAAACAGGGTTAGGGTTAATGATGAGCTAGCTAAAACAGGGTTAGGGTTAATGATGAGCTAGCTAAAACAGGGTTAGGGTTAATGATGAGCTAGCTAAAACAGGGTTAGGGTTAATGATGAGCTAGCTAAAACAGGGTTAGGGTTAATGATGAGTGCTAAAACAGGGTTAGGGTTAATGATGAGCTAGCTAAACAGGGTTAGGTTAATGATGAGCTAGCTAAAACAGGGTTAGGGTTAATGATGAGCTAGCTAAAACAGGGTTAGGGTTATGATGAGCTAGCTAAAACAGGGTTAGGGTTAATGATGAGCTAGCTAAAACAGGGTTAGGGTTAATGATAGTAGCTAAAACAGGTTAGGGTTAATGATGAGCTACTAAACAGGGTTAGGGTTAATGATGATGAGCTAAAACAGGGTTAGGGTTAATGATGAGCTAGCTAAAACAGGGTTAGGGTTAATGATGAGCTAGCTAAAACAGGGTTAGGGTTAATGATGAGCTAGCTAAAACAGGGTTAGGGTTAATGATGAGCTAGCTAAAACAGGGTTAGGGTTAATGATGAGCTAGCTAAAACAGGGTTAGGGTTAATGATGAGCTAGCTAAAACAGGGTTAGGGTTAATGATGAGCTAGCTAAAACAGGGTTAGGGTTAATGATGAGCTAGCTAAAACAGGGTTAGGGTTAATGATGAGCTAGCTAAAACAGGGTTAGGGTTAATGATGAGCTAGCTAAAACAGGGTTAGGGTTAATGATGAGCTAGCTAAAACAGGGTTAGGGTTAATGATGAGCTAGCTAAAACAGGGTTAGGGTTAATGATGAGCTAGCTAAAACAGGGTTAGGGTTAATGATGAGCTAGCTAAAACAGGGTTAGGGTTAATGATGAGCTAGCTAAAACAGGGTTAGGGTTAATGATGAGCTAGCTAAAACAGGGTTAGGGTTAATGATGAGCTAAAACAGGGTTAGGGTTAATGATGATGATAGCTAAAACAGGGTTAGGGTTAATGATGAGCTAGCTAAAACAGGGTTAGGGTTAATGATGAGCTAGCTAAAACAGGGTTAGGGTTAATGATGAGCTAGCTAAAACAGGTGGGTATGATACGTTAGGGTTAATGATGAGCTAGCTAAAACAGGGTTAGGGTTAATGATGAGCTAGCTAAAACAGGGTTAGGGTTAATGATGAGCTAGCTAAAACAGGGTTAGGGTTAATGATGAGCTAGCTAAAACAGGGTTAGGGTTAATGATGAGCTAGCTAAAACAGGGTTAGGGTTAATGATGAGCTAGCTAAAACAGGGTTAGGGTTAATGATGACTAGCTAAACAGGGTTGGTTATATGATGAGCTAAAACAGGGTTAGGGTTAATGATGAGCTAGCTAAACAGGGTTAGGGTTAATGATGAGTAGCTAAAACAGGGTTAGGGTTAATGATGAGCTAGCTAAAACAGGGTTAGGGTTATGATGAGCTAGCTAAAACAGGTTAGGTTATGATGAGCTCAAAACAGGGTTAGGGTTAATGATGAGTAGCTAAAACAGGGTTAGGGTTAATGATGATGATAGCTAAAACAGGGTTAGGGTTAATGATGAGCTAGCTAAAACAGGGTTAGGGTTAATGATGAGCTAGCTAAACAGGGTTAGGGTTAATGATGAGCTAGCTAAAACAGGGTTAGGGTTAATGATGAGCTAGCTAAAACAGGGTTAGGGTTAATGATGATGATAGCTAAAACAGGGTTAGGGTTAATGATGAGTAGCTAAAACAGGTTAGGTTATGATGAGCTAGCTAAAACAGGGTTAGGGTTAATGATGATGATAGCTAAAACAGGGTTAGGGTTAATGATGAGCTAGCTAAAACAGGGTTAGGGTTAATGATGAGCTAGCTAAAACAGGGTTAGGGTTAATGATGAGCTAAAACAGGGTTAGGGTTAATGATGATGATAGCTAAAACAGGCCTCTCCTCGTGTGGTTTACCTAGTGAAAAGAGGCTGTAGGAACTTCTATGCAGTCTCGCTTTGGTTATGTTCAGTAGAGCACACCGTAGCAAAACATTTAGTCACAGAAAACCAAATCTGTCTTATTATTGGACAAGTTCCTGTAGTTTCAGAATGTTTTTTCCTGTTTTATACCTACTGAACATGACCCAGGTCTTTATTTGTTAGACAGAGACAGTCGGGCAGCAGCTATAACATGATTACTAAGGAATGGAATACAGTGGGAATGAAAAAGGAAAAACCTCAATAACACAAAACTGGAGACAAATGAATGGAATTGATGAGTGAGCGTGGTTGAGAGAGCAGAGGGGACTGCCACAGAGTAAAGCATACCTTTTTACAGAGAGAGAGTCATCACCATCTTTCCATCCATCGTGTGACTCTGAGCATTGGGTCATGATGTAAAGTAAAAAACATTCAGATGGACAAACAAAGCCAACCGAGCTTGTCAGAGCACAGTGTGAGAGTTATCTCCTCTCTTCAGTCTCTACTGTTCTGTGTGTGTTATCTGCTGTGAGTCTGTGGCACCAGAGAGGATGAAGAGGAGACTGAGGGTCTGTATGTGTGTGAGGAGGGCTGGGGGGCCACGGGTCGCTGACTGTGGTGGTGGTGTGGCCTGGCGGAGCCCCCTTTGGCCCTGCGCGGCGTGGGCCCCTGGGCCTGGCCCTGCAGGTTGAGGATGGAGTCGATGGCACACTGCAGGTGCTCGTTAAGAGACTCATCGTGTGGCGGAGAGCCAGAGGAGAAGGAGGCGTTGTCCATGTCCATGACAGGAGAGTCTGACTTACAGCGCTTAGCAGGAAGTGATGAGTCTCTGTAACAAGAAGTGTCTGGCGGCGAGGAAGGGGGCCCAGGGGCATGCTGGTCCATTCTGAACGTTCCACCCCCCCCTGACCACTGGCGGTTTTTACTGCTCACCCTCTTATACCTCCCCATGTCTGCCCCTCTGTCCCAATGCTCCCCTTCTCTCCCCCTCTCCTCCGCCCCTCTGTCCCAATGCTCCCCTTCTCTCCCCCTCTCCTCCGCCCCTCTGTCCCAATGCTCCCCTTCTCTCCCCCTCTCCTCCGCCCCTCTGTCCCAATGCTCCCCTTCTCTCCCCCTCTCCTCCGCCCCTCTGTCCCAATGCTCCCCTTCTCTCCCCCCTCTCCTCCGCCCCTCTGTCCCAATGCTCCCCTTCTCTCCCCCTCTCCTCCGCCCTCTGTCCCAATGCTCCCTTCTCTCCCCCTCTCCTCCCCCCTCTGTCCCATGCTCCCCTTCCCCCCCTCTCCTCCGCCCCTCTGTCCCAATGCTCCCCTTCTCTCCCCCTCTCCTCCGCCCCTCTGTCCCAATGCTCCCCTTCTCTCCCCCTCTCCTCCGCCCCTCTGTCCCCAATGCTCCCCTTCTCTCCCCCTCTCCTCCGCCCCTCTGTCCCAATGCTCCCCTTCTCTCCCCCTCTCCTCCGCCCCTCTGTCCCAATGATCCCCTTCTCTCCCCTCTCCTCCGCCCCTCTGTCCCAATGATCCCCTTCTCTCCCCCTCTCCTCCGCCCCTCTGTCCCAATGATCCCCTTCTCTCCCCCTCTCCTCCGCCCCTCTGTCTGAGAGGTGGGGGCAGTGTGGGTGCTGGTGGGTGTTTGTGATGCCCTGCACTAGGCCAGGGGAGGGGGAGGAGTTCCCCAGCCTCAGGGCCTCCCGGCTGGGCTCTGTGTGGGGGTGGGAGCCCCCCTCCCTGGGGCTACCTCCTCTCTTCTCCAGCTTCATGTTGGCGATCACCGTCCCCTCTGAGGAGGGTGGGAGGGGAGATTTGGGGGGCGAAGGGGAGGGACGGGGGTACGGGACACTGTCTCCTCCTCCTCCAGGTACGCCCGGTCGGACGCGGGGGCTGATGTTCTCCCGGTAAGTCTTCCGTAGAGGAAGGCGGCAGGTGGTCTGAGGGGAAGTGGCCGTGGAGGCGGGGTTACGCTTGACTCCACACACACTGTGATGTTCTAACGCTCCGTTCATCTGAGTTGTGGAGGAGGAGGAGGATGAAGACCATGAGTGAGAGGAGGAAGAGGAGGATGGGGGGGCTGTGACTCTGTGTGGGCTGGGGGTCGCCTGTGTGGTTGCTATGGAGACCGTTGCTGAGGAGGCTGTGTTACAGCTAGGGGGAGGAGTCCTAATGACAGTTACAGAAGGCGGCGTGGCTAGTGCTGCTGCTGCTTGGGCTTTTGGGTGAGTCGGCGCCGGTTCTGGCAGGGTGGTAGGGTGTGTCGGTTCTGGTTCTGGCAGGGTGGTAGGGTGTGTCGGTGCTGGTTCTGGCAGGGTGGTAGGGTGTGCCAGTGCTGGTTCTGGCAGGGTGGTAGGGTGTGTCAGTGCTGGTTCTGGCAGGGTGGTAGGGTGTGTCGGTTCTGGCAGGGTGGTAGGGTGTGTCGGCGCGGGTTCTGGCAGGGTGGTAGGGTGTGTCGGCGCCGGTTCTGGCAGGGTGGTAGGGTGTGTCGGCGCCGGTTCTGGCAGGATGGTAGGGTGTGTCGGCGCTGGTTCTGGCAGGGTGGTAGGGTGTGTCGGTTCTGGTTCTGGCAGGGTGGTAGGGTGTGTCGGCGCTGGTTCTGGCAGGGTGGTAGGGTGTGTCGGTTCTGGCAGGGTGGTAGGGTGTGTCGGCGCTGGTTCTGGCAGGGTGGTAGGGTGTGTCGGCGCTGGTTCTGGCAGGGTGGTAGGGTGTGTCGGCGCTGGTTCTGGCAGGGTGGTAGGGTGTGTCGGCGCCGGTTCTGGCAGGGTGGTAGGGTGTGTCGGCGCTGGTTGGGGCTGGGTGGTAGGGTGTGTCGGCGCTGGTTCTGGCAGGGTGGTAGGGTGTGTCGGCGCCGGTTCTGGCAGGGTGGTAGGGTGTGTCGGCGCTGGTTGGGGCTGGGTGGTAGGGTGTGTCGGCGCTGGTTCTGGCAGGTTGGTAGGGTGTGTCGGCGCCAGTTCTGGCAGGGTGGTAGGGTGTGTCGGCGCCGGTTCTGGCAGGGTGGTAGGGTGTGTCGGCGCCGGTTCTGGCAGGGTGGTAGGGTGTGTCGGCGCTGGTTGGGGCTGGGTGGTAGGGTGTGTCTGGGGCTGTGTCTGGGGTTTAGGGTGGGGGCTGGATGGTGTGTGGACCGGGTCGAGGGGGGTGGATGGTGTGTGGACCGGGTCGAGGGGGGTGGATGGTGTGTGGACCGGGTCGAGGGGGGTGGATGGTGTGTGGACCGGGTCGAGGGCGGTGTTGTGCACCACCTTACTAAACCCCGCCTCCTGCTTGATCTTGAGCTTCAAGCCGATGCGTGGGCGGGCGGCGTACGTCTTCATGGGGGGTTTACTGCTCCTCTGGGGGAGAGCATCATCATCATCCTCAGCTGGACAAGAGGAGGAGGAAGGGTGATAGGGTGAGTGACAGGAGGGAGGTGGAGGAGAGCGGCTGAAGGAGGAGCGGTGACTCTGGGTGTCAGCTGTCTGTCTCACCCCTGAACCCGACCTAGCCACAGGAGCTGGGGAGCTGGACCAGGAGACAGACGCCCCCGCTCCTCCCTGCTTTATCACCAGCTTGGTGGAGGGGAAGTGGGCCGGTGCAATGGGTGTAGGTGTTGGGGCCTGAGTAGGTGTTGGGGTAGGAGTTGGAGTAGGGGCTACACCACTCCTCATGGTGCTGGGCTCAGCACACACAAACCACTGGGGCTGGGGATGCGACTGGGGCTGGGGCTGGGGCTGGGGGCTGGGGCTGGGGCTGGGGCTGGGGTTGGGGTTGGGGCAGGGGCTGGGGTTGGGGTTGGGGCAGGGGCTGGGGCTGGGGCTGGGGCTGGGGCTGGGCCATGCTGGCAGCTACACTCTCAATCTCCATCATCCTTGAGTTGGCCACATACTCCTCTGGAGAGAGAGAGAGATATGGAAGTGATAAGATGAATCAGAGATGACCAAAGGTCCACAGTTCTGTCAAAGCTAATCTGACTATGTGCTTCTCTGCTGTACACAGGAGGGCCAGTTTGACCAATAGAAACAACTTCTCCAAATCATATTTCTCTATATATTTTTTTATACCTGAATGGGTCCTATAATTCTAAATCAAATAGCTAAATGATCCATAGTATGAACATCTTAAAATACTTCCTTATGTCAGCTTAGAAATCCCCAACGGCTTAGAATTAAACAGCATGATCATTACACAGGTGCACCTTGTTCTGGGGACAGTAAAAGGCCACTCTAAAATGTGTAGTTTTGTCACACAACACAATGCCACAGATATCTCAAGTTTTGAGGGAGCGTGCAATTGGCATGCTGACAGCATGAATGTCCACCTCAGCTGTTGCCAGAAAATGTCATGTTAATTTCTCTACCATAAGCCGCCTCCAACCAGAATATGTGAGTGGAGCGGAACCCAATTTGACTGGAGTGTTGGAGAGTTTCCCAAAGGCTGGAGCGTCGGCCTTCTCCCCCGCTCTGGAGTGTTGGAGAGTTTCCCCAAGGCTGGAGCGTCGGCCTTCTCCCCCGCTCTGGAGTGTTGGAGAGTTTCCCAAAGGCTGGAGCGTCGGCCTTCTCCCCCGCTCTGGAGTGTTGGAGAGTTTCCCCAAGGCTGGAGCGTCGGCCTTCTCCCCCGCTCTGGAGTGTTGGAGAGTTTCCCAAAGGCTGGAGCGTCTGCCTTCTCCCCCGCTCTGGAGTGTTGGAGAGAGTTTCCCAAAGGCTGGAGCGTCGGCCTTCTCCCCCGCTCTGGAGTGTTGGAGAGTTTCCCAAAGGCTGGAGCGTCGGCCTTCTCCCCCGCTCTGGAGTGTTGGAGAGTTTCCCAAAGGCTGGAGCGTCGGCCTTCTCCCCCGCTCTGGAGTGTTGGAGAGTTTCCCAAAGGCTGGAGCGTCGGCCTTCTCCCCCGCTCTGGAGTGTTGGAGAGTTTCCCAAAGGCTGGAGCGTCTGCCTTCTCCCCCGTTCTGGAGTGTTGGAGAGTTTCCCAAAGGCTGGAGCGTCTGCCTTCTCCCCCGCTCTGGAGTGTTGGAGAGAGTTTCCCAAAGGCTGGAGCGTCGGCCTTCTCCCCCGCTCTGGAGTGTTGGAGAGAGTTTCCCAAAGGCTGGAGCGTCGGCCTTCTCCCCTTCTCTGGAGTGTTGGAGAGAGTTTCCCAAAGGCTGGAGCGTCGGCCTTCTCCCCTTCTCTGGAGTGTTGGAGAGAGTTTCCCAAAGGCTGGAGCGTCGGCCTTCTCCCCTTCTCTGGAGTGTTGGAGAGAGTTTCCCAAAGGCTGGAGCGTCGGCCTTCTCCCCTTCTCTGGAGTGTTGGAGAGAGTTTCCCAAAGGCTGGAGCGTCGGCCTTCTCCCCCGCTCTGGAGTGTTGGAGAGTTTCCCAAAGGCTGGAGCGTCTGCCTTCTCCCCCGCTCTGGAGTGTTGGAGAGTTTCCCCAAGGCTGGAGCGTCGGCCTTCTCCCCCGCTCTGGAGTGTTGGAGAGAGTTTCCCAAAGGCTGGAGCGTCGGCCTTCTCCCCCGCTCTGGAGTGTTGGAGAGAGTTTCCCCAAGGCTGGAGCGTCGGCCTTCTCCCCCGCTCTGGAGTGTTGGAGAGAGTTTCCCAAAGGCTGGAGCGTCGGCCTTCTCCCCCGCTCTGGAGTGTTGGAGAGAGTTTCCCAAAGGCTGGAGCGTCGGCCTTCTCCCCCGCTCTGGAGTGTTGGAGAGAGTTTCCCCAAGGCTGGAGCGTCGGCCTTATCCCCCGCTCTGGAGTGTTGGAGAGAGTTTCCCAAAGGCTGGAGCGTCGGCCTTATCCCCCGCTCTGGAGTGTTGGAGAGTTTCCCAAAGGCTGGAGCGTCGGCCTTCTCCCCCGCTCCAATTTCGCTCCAGTACCACTCACTTCACCAGCTCAGGGCGTGCCCGGCCCAGCATGCGTTTGTAGTCTACTTGTGTGCTGCTAATAGCCCCTTGCTTTAGCTACTGTCATGGAGTTTGCTAAATATTTTTATAAAGAAACTGATAGAACACACAGGTGCTAAATCAAGGTGACTTACAAAGATGAGGACCAAGAGCAAGAGAGGGAGTGTGGTATCCACAACTAGAGGTATGTAGTGTCCACAACTAAAGAGGTATGTAGTGTCCACAACTAAAGAGGTATGTAGTGTCCACAACTAAAGATTGATGTAGTGTCCACAACTAAAGAGGTATGTAGTGTCCACAACTAAAGAGGTATGTAGTGTCCACAACTAAAGAGGTATGTAGTGTCCACAACTAAAGAGGTATGTAGTGTCCACAACTAAAGAGGTATGTAGTGTCCACAACTAAAGAGGTATGTAGTGTCCACAACTAAAGAGGTATGTAGTGTCCACAACTAAAGATTGATGTAGTGTCCACAACTAAATATTGATGTAGTGTCCACAACTAAAGAATCATTGTGGAATCTGAAAAGACATGTATCTTGAAAGCATGATGGAGTCCTTACTACGTTCACATGCAAACAGAAAGAAACGAGGTGGGTAGCTAGCTAAGTGTGTCATTGTAACCCTAACCCTAACCCTGACAGAGCTGGTGTAACTGAGTCAGGTTTGTAGGCCTCCTTGCTCGCACACGCTTTTTCAGTTCTGCCCACAAATGTTCTATAGGATTGAGGTCAGGGCTTTGTGATGGCCACTCCAATACCTTGACTTTGTTGTCCTTAAGCCATTTTGCCACAACTTTGGAAGTATGCTTGGGGTCATTGTCCATTTGCGACCAAGCTTTAACTTCCTGACTGATGTCTTGAGATGTTGCTTCACTATATCCACATACATTTTCCGTCCTCATGATGCCATCTATTTTGTGAAGTGCACCAGTCCCTCCTGCAGCAAAGCACCCCCACAGCATGACGCTGCCACCCCCTTGCTTCACGGTTGGGATGGTGTTCTTCGGCTTGCAAGCCACACCCTTTTTCCTCCAAACATAACGATGGTCTTTATGGCCAAACAGTTCTATTTTTGTTTCATCAGACCAGAGGACATTTCTTCAAAAAGTATGATCTTTGTCCCCATGTGCAGTTGCAAACCGTAGTCTGGCTTTTATATGGCGGTTTTGGAGCAATGGCTTCTTCCTTACTGAGCGGCCTTTCAGGTTATGTCGATATAGGACTCGTTTTACTGTGGATATAGATACTTTTGTACCTGTTTCCTCCACCATCTTCACAAGGTCCTTTGCTGTTGTTCTAGGAATGATTTGCACTTTTCGCACCAAAGTACGTTCATCTCAAGGAGACAGAACGCATCTCCTTCCTGAGCGGTATGATGGCTGCGTGGTCCCATGGTGTTTATACTTGCGACTATTGTTTGTACAGATGAACGTGGTACCTTCAGGCGTTTGGAAATTGCTCCCAAGGATGAACCAGACTTGTGGAGGTCTACAATCTTTTTTCTGAGGTCTTGGCTGATTTATTTTGATTTTCCCATTATGTCAAGCAAAGAGGCACTGAGTTTGAAGGTAGGCCTTGAAATACATCCACAGGTACACCTCCAATTGACTCAAATTATATAAATTAGCCTATCAGAAGCTTCTAAAGCAATAACATCATTTTCTGGAATTTTCCAAGCTGTTTAAATGCACAGTCAACTTAGTGTATGTAAACTTCTGACCCACTGGAAAGTTTTTATTTTATTTTTTTGTCATTTAGCAGACACTCTTATCCAGAGCTACTTACAGTTAGTGAGTGCATACATTATTATTATTTATTTTTTCATACTGGCCCCCCGTGGGAATCGAACCCACAACCCTGGCATTGCAAACGCCATGCTCTATCAACTGAGCTACATCCCTGCCGGCCATTCCCTCCCGTACCCTGGACGACGCTGGGCCAATTGTGCGCCACCCCATGGGTCTTCCGGTCGCGGCCGGCTACGACAGAGAGGAATTGTGATACAGTGAATTATAAGTGAAATAATCTGTCTGTAAACAATTGTTGGAAAAATTACTTGTGTCATGCGCAAAGTAGATGTCCTAACCGACTTTCCAGGACTATAGTTTGTTAACAAGACATTTGTGGAGTGGTTGAACAACAAGTTTTAATGACTCCAATCTAAGTGTATGTAAACTTCCGACTTCAACTGTAGGTATAGGTATGAATATTATATATAGGTATGTATACAACTACCTCATCCCTATATTGTTATTTATTTTGCTCTTTTGCACCCCAGTATCTCTATTTGCACATAATCTCTTGCACATCTAGCATTCCAGTGTTAATACTATTGTAATTATTTTGCACTATAGCCTATTTATTGCCTTACCTCCATAACTTGCTACATTTGCACACACTGTATATATATTTTCTGTTGTATTTTTGACTTTATGTTTTTTTACCCCATATGTAACTCTGTGTTGTTTTTATCGCACTGCTTTGCTTTATCTTGGCCAGGTCGCAGTTGTAAATGAGAACTTGTTCTCAACTGGCTTACCTGGTTAAATAAAGGTGAAATAAAATAAAAAAATATTATATATATATACAGTGGGGAGAACAAGTATTTGATACACTGCCAATTTTGCAGGTTTTCCTACTTACAAAGCATGTAGAGGTCTGTAATTTTTATCATAGGTACACTTCAACTGTGAGAGACTAAATCTAAAACAAAAATCCAGAAAATCACATTTTATGATTTTTAAGTAATTAATTTGCATTTTATTGCATGACATAAGTATTTGATACATCAGAAAAGCAGAACTTAATATTTGGTACAGAAACCTTTGTTTGCAATTCCAGAGATCATACGTTTCCTGTAGGTCTTGGCCAGGTTTGCACACACTGCAGCAGGGATTTTGACCCACTCCTCCATACAGACCTTCTCCAGATCCTTCAGGTTTCGGGGCTGTCGCTGGGCAACACGGACTTTCAGCTCCCTCCAAAGATTTTCTATTGGGTTCAGGTCTGGAGACTGGCTAGGCCACTCCAGGACCTTGAGATGCTTCTTACGGAGCCACTCCTTAGTTGCCCTGGCTGTGTGTTTCGGGTCGTTGTCATGCTGGAAGACCCAGCCACGACCCATCTTCAATGCTCTTACTGAGGGAAGGAGGTTGTTGGCCAAGATCTCGCGATACATGGCCCCATCCATCCTCCCCTCAATACGGTGCAGTCGTCCTGTCCCCTTTGCAGAAAAGCATCCCCAAAGAATGATGTTTCCACCTCCATGCTTCACGGTTGGGATGGTGTTCTTGGGGTTGTCCTCATCCTTCTTCTTCCTCCAAACACGGCGAGTGGAGTTTAGACCAAAAAGCTCTATTTTTGTCTCATCAGACCACATGACCTTCTCCCATTCCTCCTCTGGATCATCCAGATGGTCATTGGCAAACTTCAGACGGGCCTGGACATGAGCTGGCTTGAGCAGGGGGACCTTGCGTGCGCTGCAGGATTTTAATCCATGACGGCGTAGTGTGTTACTAATGGTTTTCTTTGAGACTGTGGTCCCAGCTCTCTTCAGGTCATTGACCAGGTCCTGCCGTGTAGTTCTGGGCTGATCCCTCACCTTCCTCATGATCATTGATGCCCCACGAGGTGAGATCTTGCATGGAGCCCCAGACCGAGGGTGATTGACCGTCATCTTGAACTTCTTCCATTTTCTAATAATTGCACCAACAGTTGTTGCCTTCTCACCAAGCTGCTTGCCTATTGTCCTGTAGCCCATCCCAGCCTTGTGCAGGTCTACAATTTTATCCCTGATGTCCTTACACAGCTCTAGACTTGGCCATTGTGGAGAGGTTGGAGTCTATTTGATTGAGTGTGTGGACAGGTGTCTTTTATACAGGTAACGAGTTCAAACAGGTGCAGTTAATACAGGTAATGAGTGGAGAACAGGAGAGCTTCTTAAAGAAAAACTAACAGGTCTGTGAGAGACGGAATTCTTACTGGTTGGTAGGTGATCAAATACTTATGTCATGCAATAAAATGCAAATTAATTACTTAAAAATCATACAATGTGATTTTCTGGATATTACAGACCTCTACATGCTTTGTAATTAGGAAAACCTGCAAAATCGGCAGTGTATCAAATACTTGTTCTCCCCACTGTATATGCATATTTGATATAGATATGCATATTAGAAATTTTATTGGCCACATGCGCCGAATACAACAGGTGCAGACATTACAGTGAAATGCTTACTTACAGCCCTTAACCAACAGTGCATTTATTTTTTATAAAAAAAGTAAATCAATAAAACAACAACAAAAAAGTGTTGAGAAAAAAAGAGCAGAAGTAAAATAAAGTGACAGTAGGGAGGCTATATATACAGTAAAATAAAATAACAGTAGGGAGGCTATATATACAGGGGGGTACCGGTGCAGAGTCAATGTGCGGGGGCACCGGCTAGTTGAGGTAGTTGAGGTAATATGTACATGTGGGTAGAGTTAAAGTGACTATGCATAAATAATTAACAGAGTAGCAGCAGCGTAAAAATATGGGGTGGGGGGGCAGTGCAAATAGTCCGGGTAGCCATGATTAGCTGTTCAGGAGTCTTATGGCTTGGGGGTAGAAGCTGTTGAGAAGTCTTTTGGACCTAGACTTGGTACCGCTTGCCGTGCGGTAGCAGAGAGAACAGTCTATGACTAGGGTGGCTGGAGTCTTTGACAATTTTGAGGGCCTTCCTCTGACACCGCCTGGTATAGAGGTCCTGGATGGCAGGAAACTTGGCCCCAGTGATGTACTGGGCCGTACACACTACCCTCTGTAGTGCCTTGCATGGAGGTGGAAACATCATTCTTTGGGGACGCTTTTCTGCAAAGGGGACAGGACGACTGCACCGTATTGAAGGGAGGATGGATGGGGCCATGTATCGCGAGATCTTGGCCAACAACCTCCTTCCCTCAGTAAGAGCATTGAAGATGGGTCGTGGCTGGGTCTTCCAGCATGACAACGACCCGAAACACACAGCCAGGGCAACTAAGGAGTGACTCCGTAAGAAGCATCTCAAGGTCCTGGAGTGGCCTAGCCAGTCTCCAGACCTGAACCCAATAGAAAATCTTTGGAGGGAGCTGAAAGTCCGTATTGCCCAGCGACAGCCCCGAAACCTGAAGGGTCTCGAGAAGGTCTGTAAGGAGGAGTGGGCCAAAATCCCTGCTGCAGTGTGTGCAAACCTGGCCAAGACCTACAGGAAACATATGATCTCTGTAATTGCAAACAAAGGTTTCTGTACCAAATATTAAGTTCTGCTTTTCTGATGTATCAAATACTTATGTCATGCAATAAAATGCAAATTAATTACTTAAAAATCATACAATGTGATTTTCTGGATTTTTGTTTTAGATTCCGTCTCTCACAGTTGAAGTGTACCTATGATAAAAATTACAGACCTCTACCTGCTTTGTAAGTAGGAAAACCTGCAAAATCGGCAGTGTATCAGATACTTGTTCTCCCCACTGTGTGTGTGTGTGTATGTACAGTGGGGAAAAAAAGTATTTAGTCAGCCACCAATTGTGCAAGTTCTCCCACTTAAAAAGATGAGAGAGGCCTGTAATTTTCATCATAGGTACACGTCAACTATGACAGACAAAATGAGAAAAAACATTCCAGAAAATCACATTGTAGGATTTATAATGAATTTATTAGCAAATTATGGTGGAAAATAAGTATTTGGTCAATAACAAAAGTTTCTAAATACTTTGTTATATACCCTTTGTTGGCAATGACACAGGTCAAACGTTTTCTGTAAGTCTTCATAAGGTTTTCACACACTGTTGCTGGTATTTTGGCCCATTCCTCCATGCAGATCTCCTTTAGAGCAGTGATGTTTTGGGGCTATCGCTGGGCAACACAGACTTTCAACTCCCTCCAAAGATTTGCTATGGGGTTGAGATCTGGAGACTGGCTAGGCCACTGCAGGACCTTGAAATGCTTCTTACGAAGCCACTCCTTCGTTGCCCGGCTGGTGTGTTTGGGATCATTGTCATGCTGAAAGACCCAGCCACGTTCCATCTTCAATGCCCTTGCTGATGGAAGGAGGGTTTCACTCAAAATCTCACGATACATGGCCCCATTCATTCTTTCCTTTACACGGATCAGTCGTCCTGGTCCCTTTGCAGAAAAACAGCCCCAAAGCATGATGTTTCCACCCCCATGCTTCACAGTAGGTATGGTGTTCTTTGGATGCAACTCAGCATTCTTTGTCCTCCAAACACGACGAGTTGAGTTTTTACCAAAAAGTTCTATTTTGGTTTCATCTGACCATATGACATTCTCCCAATCCTCTTCTGGATCATCCAAATGCACTCTAGCAAACTTCAGACGGGCCTGGACATGTACTGGCTTAAGCAGGGGGACACGTCTTGTACTGCAGGATTTGAGTCCCTGGCGGCGTAGTGTGTTACTGATGGTAGGCTTTGTTACTTTGGTCCCAGCTCTCTGCAGGTCATTCACTAGGTCCCCCCGTGTGGTTCTGGGATTTTTGCTCACCGTTCTTGTGATCATTTTGACCCCACGGGGTGAGATCTTGCGTGGAGCCCCAGATCGAGGGAGATTATCAGTGGTCTTGTATGTCTTCCATTTCCTAATAATTGCTCCCACAGTTGATTTCTCCAAACCAAGCCGCTTACCTATTGCAGATTCAGTCTTCCCAGCCTGGTGCAGGTCTACAATTTTGTTTCTGGTGTCCTTTGACAGCTCTTTGGTCTTGGCCATAGTGGAGTTTGGAGTGTGACTGTTTGAGGTTGTGGACAGGTGTCTTTTATACTGATAACAAGTTCAAACAGGTGCCATTAATACAGGTAACGAGTGGAGGACAGAGGAGCCTCTTAAAGAAGAAGTTGCAGGTCTGTGAGAGCCAGAAATCTTGCTTGTTTGTAGGTGACCAAATACTTATTTTCCACCATAATTTGCAAATAAATTCATAAAAAATCCTACAATGTGATTTTCTGGATTTTTTTCCTCAATTTGTCTGTCATAGTTGACGTGTACCTATGATGAAAATTACAGGCCTCTCTCATCTTTTTAAGTGGGAGAACTTGCACAATTGGTGGCTGACTAAATACTTTTTTTCCCCACTGTATGTGTGTGTGTATATATATATATATATATATATATATATATATATATATATATATATATATATATATATAGGTAATTTTGTTAGGTTACAGCCTTATTCTAAAATTGATAAAATAGTATTTTCCCCCCTCAATCTACACACAATACCCCATAATGACAAAGCAAAAACATCTTGTTAGAAATGTTTGCTAAGTTAACAAACAAAACACATTTTTTTATATCACATTTACATAAGTATTCAGACCCTTTACTCAGTACTTTGTTGAAGCACCTTTGGCAGCGATTACAGCCTTGAGTCTTCTTGGGTATGACGCTACAAGCTTGGCACACCTGTATTTGGGGAGTTTCACCCATTCTTCCCTGCAGATCCTCTCAAGCTCTGTCAGGCTTCGGGACAAGTCTCTGAATGTCCTTGAGCGGCCCTGCCAGAGCCTGGACTTGAACCCGATCGAACATCTCTAGAGACACCTGAAAATAGCTGTGCAGCGACACTCCCCATCCAACCTGACAGAGCTTGAGAGGATCTGCAGAAAATAATGGGAGAAACTCCCCAAATGTCAAGGTTCTAGAATCATACCCAAGAAGACTTGATGCTGTAATCCCTGCTAAAGGTGCTTCAAAAAAGTACTGAGTAAAAGGTCTGAATACTTATGTAAATGTGATATTTCAGTTTATTTTATACATTAGTAAACATTTATAAAAACCTGTTTTTGCTTTGTCATTATGGGATATTGTGTGTAGATTGATGAGGGGAAAAACAATTTAATCCATTTTAGAATAAGGCTGAAACGTAACAAAATGTGGAAAAAGTCTTGGGGTCTGAATACTTTGTCCAACTGCACTGTATGTATATCAGATATAGAGGTGTTACCAAGTCTGTCCCTGGCGAGGATGCGGTCCTGTCCCAGAGAGATCTTCTCTTCCTGAATAAACATCCTGTCCATCATTACCATCTCAGCTGACGGGCCAAGGCGCTGTGAAACACAACAGGAACAGCCAGCCAGCTAATCAATCAACCAAACATTACATTAACATTTTAGTCATTTAGCAGACGCTCTTATCCAGAGCGACTTACAGTTAGTGAGTGCATACATTTTCATACTGGCCCCCAGTGGGAATCGAACCCACTGAGCTACAGGGGACTTTACTAGATGGGTGATTGTCCTGTACTGTATACAGTTGAATGTGGAAAATAATTTTGTACTTGCATGTTTCCTGTAATAAAAAAGAATGAAACAAGCAAACCATGACATGTTCTTGTATTGATTTCTTAAACTGAGACTCAGCACTATGCAGTGATCACAAGCAGCAACGTGAACCAAAGACATTTCAGAGTGAGGCCCGATAGTTTAGTCATCCCAATACTGTGGTTTACTTTGTGTATTTCTGAGTCTACGTTAAACGGCCATCTCATAAACATAACACATAAGTCAGCAAGACAATCCTAGTGATGGAGAAAGAGAAGACACTGAACAGATAAATCATCCTATAGAGAAGGAACCCTAGTGTGGGAGGGCTGTGGAAGGAGACAGAACAGATAAATCATCCTATAGAGAAGGAACCCTAGTGTGGGAGGGCTGTGGAAGGAGACAGAACAGATACATCATCATATAGAGAAGGAACCCTAGTGTGGGAGGGCTGTGGAAGGAGACAGAACAGATACATCATCCTATAGAGAAGGAACCCTAGTGTGGGAGGGCTGTGGAAGGAGACAGAACAGATAACTCATCCTCCAAAGAAGGAACCCTAGTGTGGGAGGGCTGTGGAAGGAGACAGAACAGATACATCATCCTATAGAGAAGGAACCCTAGTGTGGGAGGGCTGTGGAAGGAGACAGAACAGATAACTCATCCTATAGAGAAGGAACCCTAGTGTGGGAGGGCTGTGGAAGGAGACAGAACAGATAACTCATCCTATAGAGAAGGAACCCTAGTGTGGGAGGGCTGTGGAAGGAGACAGAACAGATAAATCATCCTCCAGAGAAGGAACCCTAGTGTGGGAGGGCTGTGGAAGGAGACAGAACAGATAAATCATCCTATAGAGAAGGAACCCTAGTGTGGGAGGGCTGTGGAAGGAGACAGAACAGATACATCATCCTCCAGAGAAGGAACCCTAGTGTGGGAGGGCTGTGGAAGGAGACAGAACAGATAACTCATCCTCCAGAGAAGGAACCCTAGTGTGGGAGGGCTGTGGAATGAGACAGAACAGATAAATCATCCTCCAGAGAAGGAACCCTAGTGTGGGAGGGCTGTGGAAGGAGACAGAACATATACATCATCCTACAGAGAAGGAACCCTAGTGTGGGAGGGCTGTGGAAGGAGACAGAACAGATAACTCATCCTCCAGAGAAGGAACCCTAGTGTGGGAGGGCTGTGGAATGAGACAGAACAGATAAATCATCCTCCAGAGAAGGAACCCTAGTGTGGGAGGGCTGTGGAAGGAGACAGAACAGATTCATCATCCCCCAGAGAAGGAACCCTAGTGTGGGAGGGCTGTGGAAGGAGACAGAACAGATAAATCATCCTATAGAGAAGGAACCCTAGTGTGGGAGGGCTGTGGAAGGAGACAGAACAGATAACTCATCCTATAGAGAAGGAACCCTAGTGTGGGAGGGCTGTGGAAGGAGACAGAACAGATACATCATCCTATAGAGAAGGAACCCTAGTGTGGGAGGGCTGTGGAAGGAGACAGAACAGATACATCATCCTATAGAGAAGGAACCCTAGTGTGGGAGGGCTGTGGAAGGAGACAGAACAGATACATCATCCTATAGAGAAGGAACCCTAGTGTGGGAGGGCTGTGGAAGGAGACAGAACAGATACATCATCATATAGAGAAGGAACCCTAGTGTGGGAGGGCTGTGGAAGGAGACAGAACAGATACATCATCCTATAGAGAATGAACCCTAGTGTGGGAGGGCTGTGGAAGGAGACAGAACAGATACATCATCATATAGAGAAGGAACCCTAGTGTGGGAGGGCTGTGGAAGGAGACAGAACAGATACATCATCCTATAGAGAAGGAACCCTAGTGTGGGAGGGCTGTGGAAGGAGACAGAACAGATAAATCATCCTATAGAGAAGGAACCCTAGTGTGGGAGGGCTGTGGAAGGAGACAGAACAGATAACTCATCCTCCAGAGAAGGAACCCTAGTGTGGGAGGGCTGTGGAAGGAGACAGAAAAGATAAATCATCCTATAGAGAAGGAACCCTAGTGTGGGAGGGCTGTGGAAGGAGACAGAACAGATACATCATCCTCCAGAGAAGGAACCCTAGTGTGGGAGGGCTGTGGAAGGAGACAGAACAGATAAATCATCCTATAGAGAAGGAACCCTAGTGTGGGAGGGCTGTGGAAGGAGACAGAACAGATAAATCATCCTCCAGAGAAGGAACCCTAGTGTGGGAGGGCTGTGGAAGGAGACAGAACAGATACATCATCCTCCAGAGAAGGAACCCTAGTGTGGGAGGGCTGTGGAAGGAGACAGAACAGATAAATCATCATATAGAGAAGGAACCCTAGTGTGGGATGGCTGTGGAAGGAGACAGAACAGATAACTCATCCTATAGAGAAGGAACCCTAGTGTGGGAGGGCTGTGGAAGGAGACAGAACAGATAAATCATCCTATAGAGAAGGAACCCTAGTGTGGGAGGGCTGTGGAAGGAGACAGAACAGATAACTCATCCTATAGAGAAGGAACCCTAGTGTGGGAGGGCTGTGGAAGGAGACAGAACAGATAAATCATCCTCCAGAAAAGGAACCCTAGTGTGGGAGGGCTGTGGAAGGAGACAGAACAGATACATCATCCTATAGAGAAGGAACCCTAGTGTGGGAGGGCTGTGGAAGGAGACAGAACAGATACATCATCCTATAAAGAAGGAACCCTAGTGTGGGAGGGCTGTGGAAGGAGACAGAACAGATACATCATCCTCCAGAGAAGGAACCCTAGTGTGGGAGGGCTGTGGAAGGAGACAGAACAGATACATCATCCTCCAGAGAAGGAACCCTAGTGTGGGAGGGCTGTGGAAGGAGACAGAACAGATAACTCATCCTCCAGAGAAGGAACCCTAGTGTGGGAGGGCTGTGGAAGGAGACAGAACAGATAAATCATCCTCCAGAGAAGGAACCCTAGTGTGGGAGGGCTGTGGAAGGAGACAGAACAGATAAATCATCCTCCAGAGAAGGAACCCTAGTGTGGGAGGGCTGTGGAAGGAGACAGAACAGATAAATCATCCTCCAGAGAAGGAACCCTAGTGTGGGAGGGCTGTGGAAGGAGACAGAACAGATACATCATCCTATAGAGAAGGAACCCTAGTGTGGGAGGGCTGTGGAAGGAGACAGAACAGATACATCATCCTCCAGAGAAGGAACCCTAGTGTGGGAGGGCTGTGGAAGGAGACAGAACAGATAAATCATCCTATAGAGAAGGAACCCTAGTGTGGGAGGGCTGTGGAAGGAGACAGAACAGATAAATCATCCTCCAGAGAAGGAACACTACTGTGGGAGGGCTGTGGAAGGAGACAGAACAGATACATCATCCTATAGAGAAGGAACCCTAGTGTGGGAGGGCTGTGGAAGGAGACAGAACAGATACATCATCCTCTAGAGAAGGAACCCTAGTGTGGGAGGGCTGTGGAAGGAGACAGAACAGATAACATCCTATAGAGAAGGAACCCTAGTGTGGGAGGGCTGTGGAAGGAGACAGAACAGATACATCATCCTATAGAGAAGGAACCCTAGTGTGGGAGGGCTGTGGAAGGAGACAGAACAGATAAATCATCATATAGAGAAGGAACCCTAGTGTGGGAGGGCTGTGGAAGGAGACAGAACAGATAAATCATCCTATAGAGAAGGAACCCTAGTGTCGGAGGGCTGTGGAAGGAGACAGAACAGATACATCATCCTCCAGAGAAGGAACCCTAGTGTGGGAGGGCTGTGGAAGGAGACAGATAACTTTAATAACTTATGGTTGATAATAAGGTAATATAACATTAATAACTTACCGTTGATTCCTCAAAAAGCAGATGTCTGTATTTATCCAGCATGGCCTGTGTTCTCTTTAGGAGCTGGCTGGAAACACTGTCAAACTCATCATCCACTGGGGGGGCAGAGAGGGAGAGAATGGAACAGGGGGGATCAGACAGAGGTAACCAATGGTAATTAGGGCTAAGAGTCATGTGGTCACTCCCGACCATACACATTAGGGCTGGGAAATGCCAGGGACATCACGATACGATATTACCACGATACTTAGGTGCCGATATGATCTGTATTGCGATTCTCAATGTGTTGTGATTCTCCATGTGTTGTGATTCTCCATGTGTTGTGATTCTCCATGTGTTGTGATTCTCCATGTGTTGTGATTCTCCATGTGTTGTGATTCTCCATGTGTTGTGATTCTCCATGTGTTGCGATTCTCCATGTGTTGCGATTCTACATGTGTTGATATTCGAAACTGCGATTTGATGTTCCAAACATATTGCTCACTATATGTCTGCTGGGGAGGGACAGGAGATAGCATGCCCCCCATCATTTGTTTTGATCAGTCATGGAAATATAAGTGCTGAAAACATGTTGGCTCACTGTTAGTGCTGAGTGATTATTGGTTTTTGAGGTCGGTTCGGTTTCGGTTCGATTATTAAAAAATAAACACGGTTTCCGTTACATTAAATGCACTATGCATTATGTGGGTTGAATGCTATAACAACACAGAATAAAACAATAAGTCCCATGATGGTAGTGACTGACCATTACTGCTTATCACTTATTGACCATCATTAATTGACGTTCCTTTAATAGAATATTTGTTTTATTTGATGACTTTATTATTTCATTCCAAGTCATCATCTCGTCTCTATAGAGCTGCTGTCTGATTAAATCACTATTTTAGTAGTTTCTTCAAAGTAAATAAGGCAGACTTTAATGACTGCTGAATACCAACTATCAATCACTTAGATCATGTATTTTCAGGCTCACAAAGCAACTGCTTTCTACCCTTCTCTATTGCTCCTTCTCTCTGTCCCCGTGTCTGCTCCGCACAGACCGGACAAATTTAAGTGGGCGCGCAATGGATTATGGTCATTGTAGTTAATTACCACATTTTCTGCGCTAAACTATGTAGAATATTGGCCTGTTGGAAACTCCAACTCCCTACTACATCGCACAGTTCAGGCATCATCTGATTTATCGCTACAGAAACGGCACATCAAGCTCACAGAAAAAAATAACTACGAAAATGGAATTCAAATATTTAACCGACGTTGGTCAATTATAGTTGTTTAAAAACCAGAAAAATAACAGAAATTTCCGTTAACCGCTCAGCACTACTCACTATTTAAAAAGAAGATGGAGAACAAAACACCGGCGTTTTGGCCCCGGTACAGCCAACTAGCGCTAGCTAACGCTACCCACAAATTGATACTTGGAGTCAAAGTATTGATATAATATTATCCAAAATAATATTGCAATATAATACTGTATCGATCCTGCTGTTAACAGCAGGGTGTATATCTCTGTGTTAGTCGTGTGGTGGTGTGGCAGTGCCCTGGTAGAGGTGGTAAGACACCAGACGGGTCAGGGTGTGTGTACCTCTGTGGTAGTCGTGTGGTGTGGTAGCAGTGCCGCTGGTAGAGGTGGTAAGACACCAGGGCGGGTCAGGGGGTGTGTACCTTTGGTGTGGTGTGTGGTAGGAGGGGCCGGGAGAGGGGGTAAGACACCAGGGGGTCGGTGTGTGTACCTCTTTGGGTTGTCGTGTGGGGGTGGCAGTGCCCTGGAGAGGTGGGAAGCACAGGGGGGGTCAGGGGTGGGAACCTCGTGGTAGTATGTGGTGAGGTGGAGGGCCCTGGTAGAGGTGGTAAGACACCAGGCGGGGTTCCGGTGTGAACCCTTGGTTTTGTGTGGTGAGGGGGGGGGAGTGCCTGGGGAGTGGAAACACCAGGGGGTCAGGGTTTTTTTTACCCGGGGGGTAGTGTGTGGTTGGGGGGGGATGCCCTGGTAAGGTGGGAAGACACCAGGCGGTCGGGGGTGTATACCTCTGTGGTAGTGTGTGGTGTGGGGGTGGTGGAGGGTGGTAGAGGTGGGGTTTGGGGCCCCGGGGGGGTCAGGGTGTGGACCTCTGTGGTAGTGTGTGGTGAGGGGGCGTGCCCTGTAAGGAGGGGGGGGTAAAAAAAGGGGGGAAAGGGTGTGAACCCTGTGGTAGGTGTGGTTTAGGTGGCAGTGCCTGGGAGGGGGTAAGACCCAAGGCGGGTCAGGGGGGGGTTACCTTTGGGGTCGTGTGGGTGGGGGGATGCCCTGGTAAGGGGTAAGACACCAGGCGGGGCAGGGGGGGGGTAAATTGGGTAGTGTGTGGTGGGGTGGCAGTGCCCCTTTGAGGTGGTAAGACAAGGGGGTCGGGTGGTGACCCCTTTTGGGAGGTGGGGTGAGGTGGATGCCCCGGTAGAGGTGGTAAAACACCCGGGGGGTCAGGGGGTGTACCTCTGTGGAGCTTGTGGTGGGGGGGCAGGCCCCGGAGAGGTGGGAAAACCCAGGCGGGAGGGGGGAAAGGGAGGGTGGGGGGGGGAGGGGGGAGGGGGAAAAAGGCGGGGAGGGTGTGGACCCGGGGGGGGTTTTTGGGGGGGGGGGGCATGGGTAATGGGGGTAAAACCCCGGCGGGTCAGGGTGTTATACCCCTGTGGTAGTAGTGTGGGGGAGGTGGCGTGCTGGGAGAGGTGGTTTAAAGGGACCAGGGGGTAAAGGGGGGGTTTTTAAATCTGGTAGTCGTGGGTGAGGTGGCAGTGCCCCGGTGAGGTGGTAAAAGGGACCCCGGCGGGTCAGGGTGTTGACCTTGTGTGTCGTTTTGGTGAGGGGGCTTGCCCTTGGGGGGAGGGGGTAAGACACCAGGGCGGGTCAGGGTGTGTGTACCTCTGTGGTAGTCGTGTGGTGAGGTGGCAGTGCCCTGGTAGAGGTGGTAAGACACCAGGCGGGTCAGGGTGTGTGTACCTCTGTGGTAGTCGTGTGGTGAGGTGGCAGTGCCCTGGTAGAGGTGGTAAGACACCAGGCGGGTCAGGGTGTGTGTACCTCTGTGGTAGTCGTGGGGGTGGGGGGCAGTGCCCTGGTAGAGGTGGTAAGACACCAGGCGGGTCAGGGTGTGTATACCTCTGTGGTAGTCGTGTGGTGAGGTGGCAGTGCCCTGGTAGAGGTGGTAAGGCACCAGGCGGATCAGGGTGTCTTCAAAGCACTGGAAGGGAGAGCTGTAGTCTGGGTGGAGGACTGAACCCTGCTGCTTCCTCAGCTGCTCCAACATCCTACACACACACAGGGTCGAGGAAGATGGGTCACAAGACTGAATTGCCATACTTTTAACAAGCCGTAAGACAACACTCATGCGCACAAACAAACACCACATAAAATAGAATAGAGAAAAAAACATTATTGTTCCACACAATGTGGATATTTTACAGGAGAATGATACAGGAGCATACCTGGCTTCCTTGCTGGGTTTAGCCATACTGAAAGGCATCTTCATAGTAGCAGTCTGTCAGGTGAATAAGACACAGCATCCATGACCATCACACCATAGCAACCATCACACCATAGCACCATCACAGCATCCATGACCATCACACCATAGCACCATCACACCATAGCACCATCACAGCATCCATGACCATCACACCATAGCACCATCACACCATAGCACCATCACAGCATCCATGACCATCACACCATAGCACCATCACACCATCGCACCATCACACCATAGCACCATCACACCATAGCACCATCACACCATAGCACCATCACAGCATCCATGACCATCACACCATAGCACCATCACAGCATCCATGACCATCACACCATAGCACCATCACACCATAGCACCATCACACCATCACACCATCACAGCATCCATGACCATCACACCATAGCACCATCACACCATAGCACCATCACACCATAGCACCATCACACCATAGCACCATCACAGCATCCATGACCATCACACCATAGCACCATCACAGCATCCATGACCATCACACCATAGCACCATCACAGCATCCATGACCATCACACCATCACACCATCACAGCATCCATGACCATCACACCATAGCACCATCACAGCATCCATGACCATCACACCATAGCACCATCACACCATAGCACCATCACAGCATCCATGACCATCACACCATCACACCATAGCACCATCACAGCATCCATGACCATCACACCATAGCACCATCACACCATAGCACCATCACAGCATCCATGACCATCACACCATAGCACCATCACACCATAGCACCATCACAGCATCCATGACCATCACACCATAGCACCATCACAGCATCCATGACCATCACACCATAGCACCATCACACCATCGCACCATCACACCATAGACCCAGATTGATTAGACATGTGATTGAATAGTCAGAAATGGAAGCCATCAGGATTGGTTGAGGGTCTCCTCACCTGTATTTGTAGAGAGGCCAGATCAGGGCTGAAGGTCATCTGACCCAGACCTGACCCTGACTCCATCCCCCCCACCTGGCAGAAGAAAGAGGGGTAGTAAAATCATACTATTGAACCTTCATTTATCCAGGTATGGCAGTTAACAACAAATTCGTATTTATTTCAATTTGAATGCCAATAAAGCTTTTTGGTTGAAATGAGGTTTGAGGGTCAGTTAGTGTTACCCACCTGCACAGCCCCAGCCTGGTGTAGGGACTGTTGACCAGCCTGGTGTAGGGACTGTTGACCAGCCTGATGTAGGGACTGTTGACCAGCCTGGTTTAGTGACTGTTGACCAGCCTGGTTTAGGGACTGTTGACCAGCCTGGTGTAGGGACTGTTGACCCGCCTGGTGTAGGGACTGTTGACCAGCCTGGTTTAGGGACTGTTGACCAGCCTGGTGTAGGGACTGTTGACCAGCCTGGTTTAGTGACTGTTGACCAGCCTGGTTTAGTGACTGTTGACCAGCCTGGTGTAGGGACTGTTGACCAGCCTGGTGTAGGGACTGTTGACCAGCCTGGTGTAGGGACTGTTGACCAGCCTGGTGTAGGGACTGTTGACCCGCCTGGTGTAGGGACTGTTGACCAGCCTGGTGTAGGGACTGTTGACCAGCCTGGTGTAGGGACTGTTGACCAGCCTGGTGTAGGGACTGTTGACCAGCCTGGTGTAGGGACTGTTGACCAGCCTGGTGTAGGGACTGTTGACCCGCCTGGTGTAGGGACTGTTGACCCGCCTGGTGTAGGGACTGTTGACCAGCCTGGTGTAGGGACTGTTGACCCGCCTGGTGTAGGGACTGTTGACCAGCCTGGTGTACTGACTGGTTAAGGCTAGCTGGAGCCATGCCCCCCTGGTTCACCTGAACTCCTGACAACACGTCATTGGATGCTGAAGAGAGAGAGGGGAGTCAGATCAGGAACACATTTCACAGTAGTAATGTTGTTTCTTTCTGACCTGTGGCAGGAGTCTTGACCAGCACAGACGTCTGAGGAGCAAGCAAGTCTTGTTGTTGACGACGATGTTGTTGGGGTTGGCTTTGCTGCTGCTGCTGCTGGTTGGCCTGTAGTAGAACGTTCTGTTGGACCTGAGCGTGAATAAAGAGAGAAAATGGATTATTCGAATACTTTGATAAACACACAGGTAGCAGCAAATCAAAACATCTGAGCAGTGAGAAGTGAGGGAATGTTAGGGTGGGTTCCTTCACACCTGGTGTAGTTTGTCCAGCAGTTGTTTCTGTTGTGGAGAGGGCTGAGCGATGGTAGACAGCGTCTGGAGCTGAGCACCAACCAGTTGCAGATGGTGCTGCTGCTCTGCTGTTAAGACCGGGAACTGCAGGGGGACCTGGGTCTTCACCACTCCACCCCCGGGGGCCCCCACCTGGCTAGCAGTGAACTGGAACCCTGCCAGAGGGGCCTGGAGGATCTGTGGGGGTTTGGGGGAGCAGGAGGGAGGGGGGACGTCCGGTTGGTAGAGAGAAGGCTGGGAGGGGGGCCGGGGTAGGGGCTGGGGCTGGAGGTGTATCTGTTGTTGTTGTTGTGGGGCAGGCTGGGAGGAGCCTGGGATCTGGTTCTGGATAATTAACATTGGGGGAAGAGAGGAGGGGGTGCAGGATCGGGTGGGGGTCTGGGGCTGGGAGGGGGGCCAGGACTGGGGGGAGGGCTGGGGGCGGGGGGAGGGCTGGGGGCTGTCCGACAGAGAGAGGGCGGTGTGGGAGGCCAGGGGCTGGGAGGGGGACAGGCTCTGGGAGGGGGGCCAGGACTGGGAGGGGGACAGGCTCTGGGAGGGGGACAGGCTCTGGGAGGGGGACAGGCTCTGGAGCTTCAGTTGCTGCTGCTGGCCGGCCGCCTGGGGCATCTGGTGTTAGAGGTCAAAACAGACAGGAAACACGTCAGACAGGAAACACAGATACAAACATGATATTAACGGTTCCAAATAATATAAACTATACTAGATTTGACGATAATAAAACATGTGGAACAGCATTTTAACAGGACAGGCAGCTACAGGACATCAAGCAAAAAACTACAAGCAGAAACAGAAGATAACTTTCAGAGAGAACACAGGTTCAGACAGACCACTAATAGTAATATTTATAGCAGTAGTAGTAGTCATGAAGTCATAAAAGTGCTGAAAGGGATAGCATTCTGCCTGGTGTTTGGGAGAGTTGAAAAGGACTGGGGTGTAGAGGTCTGCAGCAGGACTGGGGGGGTGTACAGGACTGCAGCAGGACTGGGGGGGTTGGTTAGAGGTCTGCAGCAGGACTGGGGGGGGTGTACAGGACTGCGGCAGGACTGGGGGGGGGGGGGGTTGTAGAGGTCTGCAGCAGGACTGGGGGGGTGTAGAGGTCTGCAGCAGGACTGGGGGGGGGGGGTGTAGAGGTCTGCAGCAGGACTGGGGGGGGGGGTGTAGAGGTCTGCAGCAGGATTGGGGGGGGGGGGGTGTGTAGAGGTCTGCAGCAGGACTGGGGGGGGGGGGTGTAGAGGTCTGCAGCAGGACTGGGGGGGGGGGGGGGGGGGGGTTGTACAGGACTGCAGCAGGACTGGGGGGGTGTACAGGTCTGCAGCAGGACTGGGGGGGTGTACAGGACTGCAGCAGGACTGGGGGGTGTAGAGGTCTGCAGCAGGACTGGGGGGTGTAGAGGTCTGCAGCAGGACTGGGGGGTGTACAGGACTGCAGCAGGACTGGGGGGGTGTACAGGACTGCAGCAGGACTGGGGGGGTGTACAGGACTGCAGCAGGACTGGGGGGGTGTAGAGGTCTGCAGCAGGACTGGGGGGGTGTACAGGACTGTAGTAAGACTGGGGGGGTGTAGAGGTCTGCAGCAGGACTGGGGGGGGTGTACAGGTCTGCAGTCCTGTGCAAAGCTGTCATCAAGGCAAAGGGTGGCTATTTGAAGAATCTCAAATATAAAATATATTTTGATTTGTTGAACACTTTTTTGGTTACTACATGATTACATATGTGTTATTTTTTTAGTTTTGATGTCTTCACTATTATTCTACAATGTAAAAAATAGTAAAAATAAAGAAAAACCTTTTAATGAGTAGGTGTGTCCAAACTTTTGACCGGTTGTGTATGTCAGGTCTAGTAGATGGTTTACAACACGGGAAATGTCATTACATCTACCATGCTTCCACAACCATATTATATACCTGTACACCCTAATAACCCACTAGACCCTAATAACCCACTACACCCTAATAACCCACCAGACCCTAATAAGCCACTAGACCCTAATAACCCACCAGACCCTAATAACCCACCAGACCCTAATAACCCACTAGACCCTAATAACCCACCAGACCCTAATAACCCACTAGACCCTAATAACCCACTAGACCCTAATAACCCACTAGACCCTAATAACCCACTAGACCCTAATAACCCACCCGACCCTAATAACCCACTACACCCTAATAACCCACCAGACCCTAATAACCCACTACACCCTAATAACCCACTAGACCCTAATAACCCACTACACCCTAATAACCCACTAGACCCTAATAACCCACTACACCCTAATAACCCACCAGACCCTAATAACCCACTAGACCCTAATAACCCACTAGACCCTAATAACCCACCAGACCCTAATAACCCACTAGACCCTAATAACCCACTAGACCCTAATAACCCACTAGACCCTAATCAATCAATCAATTTTATTTTATATAGCCCTTCTTACATCAGCTAATATCTCGAAGTGCTGTACAGAAACCCAGCCTAAAACCCCAAACAGCTAGTAATGCAGGTGTAGAAGCACGGTGGCTAGGAAAAACTCCCTAGAAAGGCCAAAACCTAGGAAGAAACCTAGAGAGGAACCAGGCTATGAGGGGTGGCCAGTCCTCTTCTGGCTGTGCCGGGTGGAGATTATAACAGAACCATGCCAAGATGTTCAAAAATGTTCATAAGTGACAAGCATGGTCAAATAATAATCAGGAATAAATCTCAGTTGGCTTTTCATAGCCGATCATTAAGAGTTGAAAACAGCAGGTCTGGGACAGGTAGGGGTTCCATAACCGCAGGCAGAACAGTTGAAACTGGAATAGCAGCAAGGCCAGGCGGACTGGGGACAGCAAGGAGTCACCACGGCCGGTAGTCCCGACGTATGGTCCTAGGGCTCAGGTCTCTCAGTTGGCTTTTCATAGCCGATCATTAAGAGTTGAAAACAGCAGGTCTGGGACAGGTAGGGGTTTCGTAACCGCAGGCAGAACAGTTGAAACTGGAATAGCAGCAAGGCCAGGCGGACTGGGGACAGCAAGGTGTCATCATGCCCGGTAGTCCTGACGTATGGTCCTAGGGCTCAGGTTCTCAGAGAGAAAGAGAGAGAACGAGAGAATTAGAGAGAGCATACTTAAATTCACACAGGACACTGGATAAGACAGGAGAAGTACTCCAGGTATAACCAACTAACCCCAGCCCCCCGACACATAAACTACTGCAGCATAAATACTGGAGGCTGAGACAGGAGCGGTCCGGAGACACTGTGGCCCCATCCGAAAGAAACCCCCGGACAGGGCCAAACAGGAAGGATATAACCCCACCCACTCTGCCAAAGCACAGCCCCCGCACCACTAGAGGGATATCCTCAACCACCAACTTACAATCCTGAGACAAGGCCGAGTATAGCCCACAGAGGTCTCCACCACAGCACAAACCAAGGGGGGGCGCCAACCCAGACAGGAAGATCACGTCAGTAACTCAACCCACTCAAGTGACGCACCCCTCCTAGGGACGGCATGAAAGAGCACCAGCAAGCCAGTGACTCAGCCCCTGTAACAGGGTTAGAGGCAGAGAACCCCAGTGGAGAGAGGGGAACCGGCCTGGCAGAGACAGCAAGGGCTGTTCGTTGCTCCAGAGCCTTTCCGTTCACCTTCACACTCCTGGGCCAGACTACACTCAATCATATGACCTACTGAAGAGATAAGTCTTCAGTAAAGACTTAAAGGTTGAGACCGAGTCTGCGTCTCTCACATGGGTAGGCAGACTGTTCCATAAAAATGGAGATCTATAGGAGAAAGCCCTGCCTCCCGCTGTTTGCTTAGAAATTCTAGGGACAATTAGGAGGCCTGCGTCTTGTGACCGTAGCGTACGTATTGGTATGTACGGCAGGACCAACTCGGAAAGATAGGTAGGAGCAAGCCCATGTAACGCTTTATAGGTTAACAGTAAAACCTTGAAATCAGCCCTTGCCTTAACAGGAAGCCAGTGTAGGGAAGCTAGCACTGGAGTAATATGATCAAATTTCTTGGTTCTAGTCAGGATTCTAGCAGCCGTATTTAGCACTAACTGAAGTTTATTTAGTGCTTTATCCGGGTAGCCGGAAAGTAGAGCATTGCAGTAGTCTAACCTAGAAGTAACAAATGCATGGATTAATTTTTCTGCATCATTTTTGGACAGAAAATTTCTGATTTTTGCAATGTTACGTAGATGGAAAAAAGCTGTCCTTGAAACAGTCTTGATATGATCGTCAAAAGAGAGATCAGGGTCAAGAGTAACGCCGAGGTCCTTCACAGTTTTATTTGAGACGACTTTACAACCATCAAGATGAATTGTCAGATTTAACAGAAGATCTCTTTGTTTCTTGGGACCTAGAACAAGCATCTCTGTTTTGTCCGAGTTTAAAAGTAAAACGTTTTCAGCCATCCACTTCCTTATGTCTGAAACACAGGCTTCTAGCGAGGGCAATTTTGGGGCTTCACCATGTTTCATTGAAATGTACAGCTGTGTGTCATCCGCATAGCAGTGAAAGTTAACATTATGTTTTCGAATAACATCCCCAAGAGGTAAAATATATAGTGAAAACAATAGTGGTCCTAAAACGGAACCTTGAGGAACACCGAAATGTACAGTTGATTTGTCGGAGGACAGACCATTCACAGAGACAAACTGATATCTTTCCGACAGGTAAGATCTAAACCAGGCCAGAACTTGTCCGTGTAGACCAATTTGGGTTTCCAGTCTCTCCAAAAGAATGTGGTGATCGATGGTGTCAAAGGCAGCACTAAGGTCTAGTAGCACGAGGACAGATGCAGAGCCTCGGTCTGATGCCATTAAAAGGTAATTTACCACCTTCACAAGTGCAGTCTCAGTGCTATGATGGGGTCTAAAACCAGACTGAAGCATTTCGTATATATTGTTTGTCTTCAGAAAGGCAGTGAGTTGCTGCGCAACAGCTTTTTCTAAAATGTTTGAGAGGAATGGAAGATTCGATATAGGCCGATAGTTTTTTATATTTTCGGGGTCAAGGTTTGGCTTTTTCAAGAGAGGCTTTATCACTGCCACTTTTAGTGAGTTTGGTACACATCCGGTGGATAGAGAGCTGTTTATTATGTTCAACATAGGAGGGCCAAGCACAGGAAGCAGCTCCTTCAGCAGTTTAGTAGGAATAGGATCCAGTATGCAGCTTGAAGGTTTAGAGGCCATAATTATTTTCATCATTGTGTCAAGAGATATAGTACTAAAACACTTAAGTGTCTCTCCCGATCCCAGGCCCTCGCAGAGCTGTGCAGATCCAGGACAGCTAAGCCCTGGAGGAATACGCAGATTCAAAGAGGAGTCCGTAATTTGCTTTCTAATGGTCATGATCTTTTCCTCAAAGAAGTTCATGAATTTATTACTGCTGAAGTGAAAGCCATCCTCTCTTGGGGAATGCTGCTTTTTAGTTAGCTTTGCAACAGTATCAAAAAGAAATTTTGGATTGTTCTTATTTCCCTCGATTAAGTTGGAAAAGTAGGATGATCGAGCAGCAGTGAGGGCTCTTCGGTACTGCACGGTACTGTCTTTCCAAGCTAGTCGGAAGACTTCCAGTTTGGTGTGGCGCCATTTCCGTTCCAATTTCCTGGAAGCTTGCTTCAAAGCTCGGGTATTTTCTGTATACCAGGGAGCTAGTTTCTTATGACAAATGTTTTTAGGGGTGCAACTGCATCTAGGGTATTGCGCAAGGTTAAATTGAGTTCCTCAGTTAAGTGGTTAACTGATTTTTGTCCTCTGACGTCCTTGGGTAGGCAGAAGGAGTCTGGAAGGGCATCAAGGAATTTTTGTGTTGTCTGAGAATTTATAGCACGACTTTTGATGCTCCTTGGTTGGGGTCTGAGCAGATTATTTGTTGCGATTGCAAACGTAATAAAATGGTGGTCCGATAGTCCAGGATTTTGTGGAAAAACATTAAGATCTACAACATTTATTCCATGGGACAAAACTAGGTCCAGAGTATGACTGTGGCAGTGAGTAGGTCCAGAGACATGTTGGACAAAACCCACTGAGTCGATGATGGCTCCGAAAGACTTTTGGAGTGGGTCTGTGGACTTCTCCATGTGAATATTAAAATCACCAAAAATTAGAATATGATCTGCTATGACTACAAGGTCTGATAGGAATTCAGGAAACTCAGAGAGGAACGCTGTATATGGCCCAGGAGGCCTGTAAACAGTAGCTATAAAAAGTGATTGAGTAGGCTGCATAGATTTCATGACTAGAAGCTCAAAAGATGAAAACGCCATTTTTTTTTTTGTAAATTGAAATTTGCTATCGTAAATGTTAGCAACACCTCCGCCTTTGCGGGATGCACGGGGAATATGGTCACTAGTGTAACCAGGAGGTGAGGCCTCATTTAACACAGCAAATTCATCAGGCTTAAGCCATGTTTCAGTCAGGCCAATCACATCAAGATTATGATCAGTGATTAGTTCATTGACTATGACTGCCTTTGAAGTGAGGGATCTAACATTAAGTAACCCTATTTTGAGATGTGAGGTATCACGATCTCTTTCAATAATGGCAGGAATGGAGGAGGTCTTTATCCTAATAAGATTGCTAGGGTGAACACTGCCATGTTTAGTTTTGCCCAACCTAGGTCGAGGCACAGACACAGTCTCAATGGGTATGGCTGAGCTGACTACACTGACTGTGCTATTGGCAGACTCCACTAAGCTGGCAGGTTGGCTAACAGCCTGCTGCCTGGCCTGCACCCTATTTCACTGTGGGGCTAGAGGAGTTAGAGCCGTATCTATGTTGGTAGATAAGAGGAGAGCACCCCTCCAGCTAGGATGGAGTCCGTCACTCCTCAGCAGGTCAGGCTTGATCCTGTAACCCACCAGACCCTAATAACCCACTAGACCCTAATAACCCACTAGACTCTAATAACCCACTAGACCCCAATAACCCACTAGAACCTAATAACCCACCAGACCCCAATAACCCACCAGACCCTAATAACCCACCAGACCCTAATAACCCACCATACCCTAATAACCCACCAGACCCTAATAACCCACTACACCCTAATAACCCACTACACCCTAATAACCCACTACACCCTAATAACCCACTAGACCCTAATAACCCACTACACCCTATACATAATGACTGGACAGTACCAAAACAGACAGGCAGAAACACACTGAGTGGACACACTGGACAGTACCAACAGAGACAGGCAGAAACACACTGAGTGGACCCACTGGACAGATCCAAGACATGCAGTGCCAGTAGACATGCTATGCTTTCACAGCATTAGAAACTAGAGGGGGGGGGGGGGACCTACAGTTTCATATCACAATATTAGCTTTGTAAGATATCAAAATCTGACTCAAAGTATCAATTTGTAAAATTATATATATATATATACATATATATATATATATACACACACACACACACACTTGAAGTCGGAAGTTTACATACACCTTAGCCAAATACATTTAAACTCCGTTTTTCACAATTCCTGACATTTAATCCTAGTAGAAATCCCCTGTCTTAGGTCAGTTAGGGTCACCACTTTATTTTAAGAATGTGAAATGTCAGAATAATAGTAGAGAGAATGATTTATTTCAGCTTTTATTTCTTTCATCACATTCAGAGTGGTTCAGAAGTTTACATACACTCAATGAGTATTTGGTAGCATTGCCTTTAAATTGTTTAATTGGGTCAAACGTTTCGGGGAGCCTTCCACAAGCTTCCCACAATAAGTTGGGTGAATTTTTGCCCATTCTTCCTGACAGAGCTGGTGTAACTGAGTCAGGTTTGTAGGCCTCCTTGCTCGCACACGCTTTTTCAGTTCTGCCCACAAATTTTCTATAGGATTGAGGTCAGGGCTTTGTGATGGCCACTCCAATACCTTGACTTTGTTGTCCTTAAACCATTTTGCCACAATTTTGGAAGTATGCTTGGGGTCATTGTCCATTTGGAAGACCCATTTGCGACCAAGCTTTAACTTCCTGACTGATGTCTTGAGATGTTGCTTCAATATCCACATCATTTTCCTTCCTCATGATGCCATCTATTTTGTGAAGTGCACCAGTCCCTCCTGCAGCAAAGCACCCCCACAGCATGACGCTGCCACCCCCTTGCTTCACGGTTGAGATGGTGTTTTTCGGCTTGCAAGCAACCCCCTTTTTCCTCCAAACATAACGATGGTCATTATGGACAAACATTTCTATTTTTGTTTCATCAGACCAGAGGACATTTCTCCAAAAAGTACGATCTTTGTCCCCATGTGCAGTTGCAAACCGTAGTCTGGCTTTTTTATGGCAGTCTTGGAGCAGTGGCTTCTTCCTTGCTGAGCAGCCTTTCAGGTTATGTCGATATAGGACTCGTTTTACTGTGGATATAGATACTTTTGTACCTGTTTCCTCCAGCATCTTCACAAGGTCCTTTGCTGTTGTTCTGGGATTGATTTGCACTTTTCCCACCAAAGTACATTCATCTCTAGGAGACAGAACGCGTCTCCTTCCTGAGCAGTATGACGGCTGCGTGGTCTCATGGTGTTTATACTTGCGTACTATTGTTTGTACAGATGAACGTGGTACCTTCAGGCATTTGGAAATTGCTCCCAAGGATGAACCAGACTTGTGGAGGTCTACAATTTATTTTCTGAAGTATTGGCTGATTTTCCCATGATGTCAAGCAAAGAAGCACTGAGTTTGAAGGTAGGCCTTGAAATATATCCACAGGTACACCTCCAATTGACTCAAATGATGTAAATTAGCCTATCAGAAGCTTCTAAAGCCAAGACATAATTTTCTGGAATTATCCAAGCTGTTTAAAGGCACAGTCAACTTTGTGTATGTAAACTTCTGACCCACTGGAAATAACTATAAGTGAAATAATCTGTCTGTAAACAATTGTTGGAAAAATTACTTGTGTCATGCATAGAGTAGATGTCCTAACCGACTTGCCAAAACTATAGTTTGTTAACAAGAAATGTGTGGAGTGGTTGAAAAACAAGTTTTAAAGACTTCAACCTAAGTGTATGTAAACTTCCGACTTCAACTGTACATATATACATATACACATACAGTACCAGTCAAAAGGTTGGACACCTATTCCTTCAAGGGGTTTTCTAACCCTAACCCTAACCCTAATAACCCTAACCCTAATAACCCTAACCCTAACCACAGTACCAGTCAAAAGGTTGGACACCTATTCCTATTCCTATTCCTTCAAGGGGTTTTCTAACCCTAACCCTAATAACCCTAATAACCCTAACCACCCTAATAACCCTAACCCTAACCACAGTACCAGTCAATAGGTTGGACACCTATTCCTATTCCTATTCCTTCAAGGGGTTTTCTAACCCTAACCCTAATAACCCTAACCCTAATAACCCTAACCCTAACCACAGTACCAGTCAAAAGGTTGGACACCTATTCCTATTCCTTCAAGGGGTTTTCTTTATCCGTACTATTTTCTATGTGTAGTAACCAAAAAAAGTGTTAAACAAATCAAAATATATTTTAGATTCTTCAAAGTAGCCACCCTTTGCCTTGATGACAGCTTTGCACACTCTTGGCATTCTCTCAACCAGCTTCATGAGGTAGTCACCTGGAATGCATTTCAATTAACAGGTGTGCCTTGTTAAAAGTTAATTTGTGGAATTTCTTTCCTTCTTAATGCATTTGAGCCAATCAGCTGTGTTGTGACAAGGTAGGGGTGGTATACCGAAGATAGCCCTATTTGGTAAAAGACCAAGTCCATATTAAGGCAAGAACAGCTCAAATAAGCAAAGAGAAACGACAGTCCATCATTATTTTAAGACATGAAATTCAGTCAATCCATAAGATTTCAAGAACTTTTAAAAGTTTCTTCAAGTGCAATCGCAAAAAACATCATGAGGACCGCCACAGGAAAGGAAGACCCAGAGTTACCTCTGCTGCAGAGGATAAGTTCATTAGACTTACCAGCCTCAGAAATTGCAGGCCAAATAAATGCTTCACAGAGTTCAGGTAACAGACACATCTCAACATCAACTGTTCAGAGGAGACTGCGTGAATCGGGCCTTCGTGGTCAAATTGCTGCAAAGAAACCACTACTAATGGGCACCAATAAGAAGAAAATACTTGCTTGGGCCAAGAAACACGAGCAATGGACATTAGACCGGTGGAAATCTGTCCTGTCTTTGTGAGACGCAGAGTAGGATGATCTCTGCACGTGTGGTTCCCACCGTGAAGCATGGAGGAGGAGGTGTGATCCCACCGTGAAGCATGGAGGAGGAGGTGTGATCCCACCGTGAAGCATGGAGGAGGAAGTGTGATCCCACCGTGAAGCATGGAGGAGGAAGTGTGATCCCACCGTGAAGCATGGAGGAGGAGGTGTGATCCCACCGTGAAGCATGGAGGAGGAAGTGTGATCCCACCGTGAAGCATGGAGGAGGAGGTGTGATGGTGCATTGCTTGTGACAGTCTGATTTATTTACAATACCAGACAAAAGTTTGGACACACCTACTCATTCAAGGGTTTTTCTTTATTTTGACTATTTTTTACATTGTAGAATAATAGTGACATCAAAACTATGAAATAACACACATGGAATCATGTAGTAACCACAAAAATGTTAAACAAATCCAAATATATTTTATATTTGAGGTTCTTCAAAGTAGCCACCCTTTGCCTTGATGACAGCTTGAATTAGTAGGTGTGTCCAAACTTTTGACAGGTACTGTATATACAGGGCCTTGCAAAGGTATTCATCCCCATTGGCATGTTTCTATTTTGTTGCATTACAACCTGTAATTTAAATGGATTTTTATTTGGATTTCATGTAATGGACATACACAAAATAGTCCAAATTGGTGAAAAGAAAAAATTGTCAAAAAAATTATAGAAAATAAATAACGTAAAAGTGGTGCATGCATATGTATTCACCCCCCTTGCTATGAAGCCCCTAAATAAGATCTGGTGCAAACAATTACCTTCAGAAGTCACATAATTAGTTAAATAAAGTCCACCTGTGTGCAATCTAAGTGTCACATGAAATGTCACATGATCTCAGTATATATACACCTTTTCTGAAAGGCCCCAGAGTCTGCAACACCACTAAGCAAGCGGCACCACCAAGCAAGCGGCACCATGAAGACCAAGGAGCTCTCCAAACAGGTCAGGAACAAAGTTGTGGAGAAGTACAGATCAGGGATGGGTTATAAACAAATATCAGAAACTTTGAACATCCCACAAAGCACCATTAAATCCATTATTAAAAAATGGAAAGAATATGGCACCACAACAAACCTGCAAGAGAGGGCCGCCCACCAATACTCACAGACCAGGCAAGGAGGGTATTAATCAGAGAGGCAACAAAGAGAGCAAAGATAACCCTGAAGGAGCTGCAAAGCTCCACGACGGAGATTGGAGTATCTGTCCATAGGACCACTTTAAGCAGTACACTCCACAGAGCTGGGCTTTACGAAACAGTGGCCAGAAAAAAGCCATTGCTTAAAGAAAAATAAAATAAAACACGTTTGGTGTTCACCAAAAGGCATGTGGGAGACTCCCCAAACATATGGAAGAAGGTACTCTGGTCAGATGAGACAAAAATTTAGCTTTTTGGCCATCAAGGAAAATGCTATGTCCGGCGCAAACTCAACACCTCTCATTACCCCGAGAAACACCATCCCCACAGTGAAGCATGGTGGTGGCGGCATCATGCTGTGGGGATATTTTTCATCGGCAGGGACTGGGAAACTGGTCAGAATTGAAGGAATGATGGATGGCGCTAAATACAGGGAAATTCTTGAGGGAAACCTGTTTCAGTCTTCAAGAGATTTGAGACGGGGACAGAGGTTCACCTTCCAGCAGGACAATGACCCTAAGCATACTGCTAAAGAAACACTTGAGTGGTTTAAGGGGAAACATTTAAATGTATTGGAATGGCCTAGTCAAAGCCCAGACCTCAATCCAATTGAGAATCTGTGGTATGACTTAAAGATTGCTGTACACCAGCAGAACCCATCCAACTTGAAGGAGCTGGAGCAGTTTTGCCTTGAAGAATGGGGCAAATATCGTGTGTGTGTGTGTATATATAGACATACCCCAAGAGACTTACAGCTGTAATTGCTGCAAAAGGTGGCTCTACAAAGTATTGACGTTGGGGGGGTGAATAGTTATGCACGCTCAAGTTTTCTGTTTTTTTGTATTATTTCTTGTTTGTTTCACATTAAAAAATATTTTGCATCTTGAAAGTGGTAGGCATGTTGTGTAAATCAAATGATACAAACCCCCCAAAAATCTATTTTAATTCCAGGTTGTA